CAAAAAATGAAAGAAACACATGGTGTGTAAGCTAAAACTGTCTTATTATGGGCTAAAACAAGCTTATAGATAATTGCACTCGAAGTTTCATCATACAATTGTAAGTTGAGGCTTCCAAATGATGTATGAAGACCTCTATATCCTTGAAGAAGAAAAAAAATTTGTACTCATGTCATTATATATTGATGATATATTGTTTGCTAGTGATAACATGAGTTGATTGACAGTCATCAAGGAATGGTTGTTCTCAAACTTTGAAATAAAGGATTTAGGAGAAACTACTTATATCATTGGGATTATGATCCAGATAGACAGAAAGAAAAACTTCTATACTTGAGCCAATAACCATATATCAATCAGGTACTTGAAAGGTTCAACACGAACAACTTAAAAACTTATGAATATCCCTTTAGCACACAATTACATATTGAGTTCATCAATGTCTTTAAAAAGTTCCCAAGAGAAGGAAAAAATGAAAAAGACCCCACACTTGAGTGCTATCGGTAGCTTAATGTATGGAATGTTATGTTCAATACGAGCCATAAGCTATGTTATTGGACCATTGGCAAGATTTTCATCGAACACTGGAATTGAACATTGGAAATGTGTCAAAAAGTTCTTAAGATACTTTAGAGGTACAAAAAACTATTGGCTATGTTATGAAGGTAACAACATTTAGTCCCTTGGATATATTGATGTTGATTGGGGTGGTGATAAAAAAAAATCATAATTCCACATCGATATATGTGTTCCTGATGAAAAATAGAGTAGACATATGGTGCAGTAAAAAGTAAACTTGCGCCGCTCTATCGACTATGGTTGGGTCTGCAACTATTCAAGAAGCTCTGTGGCTTGGAAATTTTCTTGATCACCTTGGCTTGCTCAAAAGAAATTTGAAATTCATAACCATTTTTAGTGATAGTATGCCTTCATTGACTTAGACAAAACATCCCAAATATCATGCAAATACCAAACATATTGGGATCAAATACATATTCATATGAGATGAATAGAGAGTGGTGATGTCAAGTTAGATTCTGTATCTACAAAATTCATGGTTTTTGACCCTTTCACGAAACATATTCGCTAACATGAGTTTGTAAACCATGTACAGGCCATGGGTCTATGTTGTTATGATGTAATTCTATTGTTGTCCTTATTGCACCAATATTTTGCATGTATGACAAGTTATTGTGACTTTTATATCATATTGATTCAAAAATGCAAATCATAACTAATAAGAGGAAAATCTATGAAAAACATAGACAAAGTTTGGGATAACCACTCACTCAGTTGATCTATTTCTTTCTTGAATGACACAAAAATGAGATTGCTTAGAAGCACGAACCTTGGCTAGGAATAATCGCCTTATATGCTAAGCATAATACAAGGTTTTACTTGAGATGTACAATAGTGTATTCATCCAATCTTAAGCTAAATAATCGTCTTTATATAGATAATTAATGGTATTGTATCATTATCTATGTTAAAGATGAGACAAATGTGGTACTTGATCATCAGTGCAACTCCACACTTGCATTGGAAAACATTAATGTGGGAAAGTTTTCTTAAGAGAAAACTTGTGGTGTTCAATGAGTTTGAGCAACAATACACTATGGTATTAAATGTGTGAGCATAGACTTCTAGTTGCATTTTTTTATGGAATAAAATTGTGCTACTCCAGTGGAAGAATAATACAAATGGATAATATAAGATAATAACTACATTTTATCTTAATAAAGTTCACAACAACCATGATTAAAATAGGGAATAGCAATATTCCATGTGGTTGGTAAATCATGAGTTGTGCGCACACTAACATGTGACCGAAAATAAATAAAAAAATCAAGAGGTTTTCCCTAGTTCTCTTGTTGGAGTGAATTTTTTTTGTTTATTGCTCCTAGTGACTATTGAATATTTCTTCTTATCTTAGGGGAAATCCACTTATTTTGACGATAAGTATTATATGACCATATTGATAAGGGTCAAGAGAACATCATTTAACAAGTGAGTGATCTTGGGTATAAGAATTGTATTGCAAAAGGAAAAAAATCTATAAAAAAGTTTTTATGCATTAAGAAAACCAAGGCCATATATATTTCTTAAAAGCAATATGAGATTTTACAGTGCATGAAAATAAATTTGGCATGCATGGTGTTTTGACACATTCAAAAAATTATAGCAATAGTTTCTTAAACAAGAAAAATACAAAAATGTATAAATATGATCGATTCTATGGACATAATCTTAAGATAATTGTGACATGAGTGAGGTCTCTATCGTGAGACATCACTATTCAATAATTTGAAGCATCAAGAAAATTCATACATTATTGTTTCAATAAGAGACATGGAAATGATGTTGATAAAAAGAGTTTGATGGATGCTCTTAAAAGACACACTCATTAGATGAGGTCAATTCAGTGTCCTAGGTCATAGTACCTAGTTTGCACAAATCCATCAACTAGACAAGGTATAGACTAGAACTATTTATGAATGAGAGACTTTGTGAAATCCTACGTGAGGAAATACCCATGAATTTTGGTGCAACTAGGAGTTTGTTGGAATTACGTGAGCATATGTGGACACAGAAACAATATGCACAAGAATCTCATGACTAAGCATGAGGTGGCATGGTACAAATAAGCACAATGTGTCCAAGCATGATGTGGCACAATGCTAGTAAGCACAACGTGTCCAAACACGAGTTGTCATTTCTTCAATGTGAAGAAAGCTTAAATACGAGAGGCCTTTAAGAGCAAAGTCTTCTTAAGCTTGCAGTGTATTTAAGTACGAGGTCTTCTTAAGTATGAGGTGTTCCTAGGTGTTCTTAAGCACGATGTATTCCTAAGTATGATGTGGCCTTTCTAAGCATGATGTGGCCTTAAGCACGATGTCACTTTTTTTTGAAAAAATCTTTAAGCACAATCAAGTACGATGTGTCATGTGGAAAAAATGTCACAATGAACATATCACATCGAGCATGTTGTGTCGAGTTGCATACAAGTCAAGTGTTGTGCTATGAGCAATACAAATTGGAGGTGATGTGTCGCGATGCATACAAATTACTTCACGTTGAAGTATACTTGGGGTTGAAGTATCTTGTGCCTATAAATAAAGACACGCCACACTTTATTCATTAAGATTTTATACATAGAAAATAAGAGTGAATGATAGGTAGGTGTGGGGAAATATGAGTTGACACTTGAGTACCAAAGAAAGGTGCACAATAGTGCTATCATCCTGTTCAAGTCATCTATGTGGTGCCCTGGAGGTTTTAAGCAAGCATAGCTGATGAACCAACGCTTTATTTGTCCTATCAGAGTTGATTGAGATCCTGACCAACTGTTCCTTATTGTTCCTCCTTGTTGTCATCACAAATAGCATTAGAAACTTGGATATTTAAGATCTCTTGGTGAAAAGTAGATAATTTTTTATAATATAATTTTTATATTGTGGAATTTGCCTTTACGGTATGACAAATTCCTTCACTTCTTGCTGATGTTGCAAAACCACATGATGCCAATGCTTCATGTTGCTGTCATTCTTCATTCCAAAAACTTCTTCATTACTTTCAGCCACACCAAATTCAATGCCCCCAATTTCTCAAAATGCCGTTACTTCACCCTCCACCCCCCTCCAACCATCTCTCAAAATCCGAAACCGTAGATTTCAATGTCTTTGATTTGACGTACTTGATAAAAAAAAAGTGTTTGCAGCATTTCCGAGATTCATTGACTCAATTCTTCATAAAATAAACGTCCTTCTTTGATTTCATATTATTCCCTAACTTTCACAAGAGACATCGCCAATAGTTTCGGCCGATCACGATTTGTGCTCAAACGAAATAACATCCCTAAGTATCATTTCAATTTCTACATTACTGTTTTAAGAAGAGTCAATGAAGAAATAAATCAAAGAAAAAAGAAATAAACAAAGCTGATAATAAACGAGCCTTCACATGAATATTCCAACAACTCTCTCACTCGTTGTCTTGCACGGTCACAATTTTGAACTTGCTGGTCTTTTTTCCAGCGGGGATGATTTTAATTTACTCTTCAAGTCCTCTTCCCTACGGTTTCGCCGCAATTTCATACTGAGAGGGAGCCATCATCGGGCTAAATAGATTCGCCAACGACTACCGGCAGAAAGACAATTGGACAAAAACAGTAGGATCTGCAAAGCATCGGAATATAGAGAGTGAAGGATAAATTAGAGAGATAAAATTGTATATTCTTGGCAAAAGTACATTTGTAATTTCACTTATAGAATTTCTTAATTAGATTCGCTATGTGGGTGTGTGTGGAACAATCATGGTTAAGTAATGACGGACGATACAAGATTTCATAAAGTACAAAAGATCTGACACAAGTTTTAAATAATAGAAATATTTTGTGCAAGTTCATAAAATTAAATGTAGATTTTATGTTGTTTCTTCGAATATTGTAGCATATTTTGCAAAATAGAAAAATGCTATCTCCGTCATAACTCAAAATATCCATTTTATTATTTTTGTTTGTCTTATTCAAATAGTATCACTTTCTATTTTAGTAAAAAATAGATATATACTAGTCCTCCGCAATGACCTGATGGTGTGAGGTTGGATTTATGACCGTGAGGTCATGGTTTAAACCCTCGATACCTCAGGTCACTTGCGACGCATGGTTTGTCTAGTATGATTCGTCTGTCGAACTTAATTTGCAGGGCGCACTTTGAAATAGCGACCGGGGATTCCTTGGAAAAGAAATAAAAAAAATAGACATATACTAATTAAAACTCAAAATAAGATTTAAAATCTTATTAATTTATATATAAAATCAAAATGAAAAAATATTAAAACTTATTAGATAGTTTCATTAATTATTAAAAGATGGATTATGAATTAAAATCTGTCTGAAAAACACAGTTGTCCTAGTTGAGTTCCTACCTGGTCAAAACACGAAGCGAAGCTGGATTTAATGGATTGGAATAGAATCTTCCATCTGATTCGCCGAAAGAAAGTGAAAACCCCAAACTTTTTGGTGGGGTGGCGTGGGGTAGGGTTTCAGCAGCCTTTCGGTTCCGACTCAACTCAATTCAATTCTCCCCTGCGCCGACTCCCACTCACTGTCGGCATTGCTTCTCTTCTTGTCCCCCATTTTTATTTGTCTTCTCCGTAACTACTATTATTCTCATTCTTATTTTATTCCAACTACCATCTCTGGAGAAACTTTCCCTGTTTGAATCCTTCAGCCGCACCACCGCCCTAGGAACCGCATCTCCACCCCTGTCAAGGTATGAACATCTATCGTTATACCTTCTCTTCCCATTCTTTTTGTCCACTTCGATTTTCGCTTGTTGCGTTGGATGCTTTAATTGATTTACTGACTCAGACATGATTTGTTAGAAATGAATGCGTAGATTGTCATGATTGATTTGCTACTAAGCTATTAATAATTTGAAATTAAATAATCATGCTAGCTAATTTCGATCATTTAGCTCTCTCCTTGATGATCTTATCTGGAATCAATTTTTCTATCTTCGCTCTCCTCCATGGATGGAGCTAGTTAATTTGGAAGTCTCAAATTTCCAACAGTTCCCAATTTCATTGCAGTGTGGAAGCTTTTGAGAATTTAAGGTCAATGGATTTAAGGGGCCGAAATGAATCAAGATCAAAAGTTTCTCCCGTGGTGGCTTCTGTATTAGTTAGGGCTGTCCTCGAGTGGATGCTGATTCTTCTGCTGTTTATAGAGGCTAGTTTCGCGTTCTTGGTTACGAAGTTTGCCCGTTACAGCCGATTGCAAGTTCCCTGCTTGCTATGCTCTAGACTCGATCATGTGTTGGGGAAAGAGAAGGCAGGATTCTACTGGGAACTAATCTGCCGAAGACACAAGTCGAAGATATCTTCTTTAGTTTTCTGTCGACAACATGGAAACCTTGTTGATATTCATGGAACATGTGAAAGCTGCTTATTCTCATCCACATCTATAGAAAAGTCGAATGCCAAAAGATGCAGATTGATAGTTGGTAAATTGGGCAACGGGCCTTGTTATGACCCTTTCCAAGATGCTTCGGCCGATGAACATATATCAAAAAACTGCATGTGCTGCAACGAGCAATGGATTCCTAGTATTTGTACAGAGAAGTTGTTTAATAGCAACTCTGAGGGAGCTGAGATTAACGAGGTGGTATCTTTTACATCGAAATATGATGTGGATGAGAAAGCAATGGAGGGTTCGTCTCAAAGAGGCCAAGTGTGCGCCGAGGACACTGATCCCCTGCCACATGTGGAATATATGGACATTAGAGTTACATCTGATGCTGAATCCGAAGGTCGGTTCTTGGATAATAAGAGCACTAATGTGCATTTTTGTGTAAATGAGACATTAGGCCACGATTTAGCGTCCAACTGTGCACCTTCAGAACCTAAGACCATCACACTTGTTGATTGTCCATCTCTTGATAAATCAATCCATCAAGCTTCTCTTGTCACATCCTCGCTAGAGGAGCCATCCGATCTTGCTCACAATGCAGAATCTGAGGTACCCATTAGACATGATTTAGAGGGAAGTAATTGCCAGCCTGCTGATTGTAAAAATAATGTCGATGAAACATCCGAATCAGCACGTGGATCATTTCCAGAAGCATTTACTTCTCCAAGAGTGAATGGAACCCATCATGAGGCGCCCAAAGATATCAGTAAGTCAATAATCTTCTTTCAAACTCTGTTTCTTTCAAGTGAAAGTTACTGCGCAGATTATATTTATATCACCTTTTATTCGTTTGCTGTGTATGTTTGATTGTTTACTATTTGCTTTAGGTGTTCCGATCACAACTGAGTTTGAGAAAGAAGTTAATGTTGGATGTGAAGAAACTTTGGTGGATCAAAATGATGACAGTATTTTAAAAAATGAAGTTCGGATTGATTCAAAACATAAGAAAACAGATGCCAGTACACAAATGGTGGAGTCCTTGGATCTTGGTGATGCTTATAGATTAGCTGTCGGCCCTAGGGGAAGGCAGTTGTCCGGAAGACTCTTAGAACAACAACGGTCTATGACGGAGTCTACAAGAGCTAGTGAAGATTTAAAAATCCTGCTTTCGCAGATATCTGCTGCCCGTACGATTGACTTACCATTGTATGATATGAGTCCAAGGGTGAGTGCAAACAGTGAAGATTATAAGGCTGTGGATGGTTCGAGTGTTTTAGGGATGCAAATACTTCAGAGAAGAATCTCACTCGAGAGAAATGAATCCAATTTGTCTTTTGATGGGAGCGTTGTCAGCGAAATTGAAGGTGAGAGTGTGGCAGATCGTTTGAAACGGCAGGTGGAGCATGATAAGAAAATAATGAGCGCTCTGTATAAAGAACTAGAGGAAGAGAGGAATGCTTCGGCAGTTGCCGTTAATCAAGCAATGGCCATGATTACGAGGTTGCAAGAAGAGAAAGCAGCCCTCAACATGGAGGCACTGCAGTGCCTGAGAATGATGGAAGAACAAGCCCAATACGATGGCGAAGCGCTGCAGATTGTTAATGATCGTCTTGCAGAGAGGGAGCAGCTGATTGAAAATTTTGAATATGAACTTGGATTGTACAGGAAACGATTTGGGGATATATCTCTGTCTGACAACATAGTTGAGCCATCACCTGAATCAGGAGTAGAAGCAAATAGTGAAGAAAGTAACGTGGCTGCGCTAAAACATGATATCAATATTAACAACGATTGTGGAGGACATGAGGTGTCTTCCCCGTGCTTTGAAGATGAAAAACAAATTATTTTGGAAAACCTGAGCAAGTTGGAGGAAAAACTGATTATGTTTTCGAAACATGAAGTCTACCCTGACTCAGCTGATGATGCTTTTTCGCCAGGGGTTTCACACGGAAATGGTGAAATGGAAACAAAAAATCGTCTGCCAAGAGATACGGTTGTGTATAGAGAGGCTTCTTCTGAAGATCGATCTGAACATAATAACTCCCAACATGAAAATGAAGGATTCGTACACATTGATATGGATGGCGAGTTAGATAAAATCAGAAACAAGCTTGCTGCTATGAGCAGAAGATTTGAGGCACTTGAGGCAGAGAAAAACATTATTGAGAGTTCGATCAATTCACTCGAAAAGGGCAGTGAAGGCTTTGAATTCATTCGAGAAGTAGCTGATCGAGTACAAGAGCTGTATTTGGCTTACATCAGAAGAAGTGAGGTTTGAGATGAACTCTCAAGTTTCAAGATGTCTATGGTACACTCTCTTTACTGTGTGTTTATCTATCGATATATATATATATATATATCGAACTTTTGAGTGTTCTGGGCTTTATTATCCCGAGTAGTTTAGCACTCAATATCAAGAAGAGAAAGTGTCCGCAAAATGAAAAACAAACATGAAAAAATTTTGTTTCAAATTGTGCATGGACAATCTTAGGTTCTTTATTGCTATAGGAAATCTGTGAATGTTGTCTTGCCACAAATTGTAAATATTTCTCGTACCAAAGCTAGTGATGCCGTTGTAGTTCACGGATATCTTTAAAGTTCTGAATGTGTGTTCAAATTGAATGGGATTCTTGTATTGTGCTCTCTACTCAACATCAAATTATTCTAAGCTGCTCGCAATCCTTGAAAAACTCCATTAGATTTATTTATTGCATCTCTTTACGTTGCTTATGGACCTCATTTTTTTGTTATATAACTTTGATGAAATGAAGTATAAATTACAAGGTGTTTTTAGCATTGTTAGTTGCCTTGTATTGTGGAAGCCGTAAAAAGAATGCTTAATTAAAGCTTCAATGCCTTGTATTGTTCAAAGAAGCATATCGACAACTTGGAGCCAATTTTTCATACTGTTATTCTGCAATGCATGGATATCCTTAGGTTCTTTTATGTTGTGTTACAACTTACAACTACAATGATTAAAGTTTTTAAGGTATTAGTTTAACTTTCATGGTTTAACATGCCCCATTCCAGTACTATTCAGATTGAAAAGCGTCGCAAACTAATTAATTTTTGTGCGAAATGTTCTGCAGATTCTACTAATTATACATTGAAGGAGATCGATTGAAGAACTATAATGAGAAGGTGTTGGTGGAATTGATGATGAATTGGTTGTACTGTACAGTGTTTGTGTCATTCTTGTTCGATTTTGGTGTTTGTGTTTGTGTTTGTCTTGGCTTTGTTTCGATTTCTGCCTCAATAGTTTGAAAGATTTGAGGTTTTTGCTACACCATATGATTTTTTGGTTTATCTCAACTCATAAATGTCTTTGGATACATTGTTTATAAATATGAAATGCTTCCTTTTTCTTTTCTTGTGTCGAAGACACAAAGAAGTTTGATTCTGCAGGATCATCGCGTAAACGGAGACATACAAAAGTTGATACAGAAATTGGGATTGGGAGAGACTAATGAGAAAAGAAGAGGAAGCAAAATATACACACAACTTCAAAACCACAGGTTTGTCTTCTCTACAACATGACACAAAATAATAAGTGGGATCAAGTGGTCCGGTCGGACGGATTCTTTTCCGATCATCCCTTCATTTGCGAACGTTCCTAAGTAAAAATGCTCAGAATGACAGCTATAAATTTAAAAATAAAAATTAAAAGGTATTAGCTTTCTTCTTCTTGTTTCTTCTTCGTATCTAAGTCGAGATACAATACATGCATGTAGCGACTACGTATGTTTTTATCCGTTACGTGCATTTGTTACTGCTTCTTTTCGTTGCTTTCAGCATTATTGTTGTTGTTGGTGTTGGTTGTAGCTGCAGCATTAGTAGCAGATGTATTATTTGTGTTGTCGGATGGATGCATTACTGAATCGAATTTGTCTGATTTCTCCAGCACGATTTCGATCTGATAAATCCATCCAAAAAATAATTTTACATTAGATGATGATCATTCTGGGAAGGTTAAATTTGAAATATGAGAAGTACTGACCCGAGCTTTCTGAATAGTTCTTCCCTTATTTGCATCCTTCATTCCCACCGTCGATGTTACGATACCTGCAGTGAATAATTCTTTATTTTCTTTTCAATGCATCTGTGTGTTTTTTTCGTAGCCATTGATATATAGAGAAATTCTAATAGAACAGAACAGCTTACTCTTCTCCTTCACCAATCCATTGTTCTTGAGGATCTCGGTTATGGTTACGACTGTGGTGATTGCTGTATTCAGGCAACATAACATTAAAAATTGTGAGAATATGAAACTAAAATTCTCTATTTTAATCGTATATATTTATAGTGATATATAGATCGTTTAAGTAAAGCAAGAATCCTACGAATCTCTTATAGAAGACAACTGTCGTAAATATAATATATTACTTTTAAATATATTTTAACACTCCTCTTCAAACTCAAGATATGAATGAACAAATTTGAGTTTCTCATAAGTGACCGAAAAAGATATAGCCGAAATCTTCTACGAACAAACTTGAAGTTGAAAGTAAAACTCTGTTAGTGGAGATTGAAATAGTAAGACGGAGACGAATTGAAAATGACCGCATGATCGCGGATAGAAGTAAATACATCTATAACGGGTCATGGATGTACTCGGAGAGAATTTGGCTCTGATATATGTTAGAATATGAAACTAAAATTTTCATTTTCAAATCCTACGAATCTCTTACACAAAACAACTAGTATAAATATAATATATTGCTTCTAAATATATTTTAACAAAAACATTGATATTTGATATGACAATTTCTTTTGCGGATGAATAATGTTCGAATCGAAAGGAATGTAGTTTGTACCCATGCCCAATGCAGAAAGTTCGATCTCTTGATGCTGTTGCAGGTACCTCTGCACGGAAATGGCGATTCTTCATGGTTCGATTTCATCGAAAAAAAACATAAATAAAATGAATATGTAGGGGGAGAATTAGAGGTACCTTTGCAAGATTGACGTAGAAGAAGAGAGGTTTCTTGGTGTTGGAAACTTGGATTCTACTCTTCTTCTGGTTGATCTCGTCGGCGGCGCTTTGCTTGGTTATCATGGCGGCGGTGGTTTCGCCATTGTCTGCGGCTGCGGTTGCCGTGGCCATTGTCATTGTCATTTTTGATGAAATGATTATTAAATATTAATATTATTATTAAGGCTATATATGTATATGTATATGTAATGCAGAAACGGAGGGAGAATGTGGAATGTATGTATAGAGAAGAATAAGTTGGGAAGGTTTGGCGGAGCGTTTAAATAGAGCTTTTTGACGCTATCAGCCTTTCGCTTTTTACCTTTTACATCTTACCATACACTACGCAGATGTACGTGTTAAGAGATAATTGCAAAAAATATCTGGCAACGTATACCCCATTATCACTTTTGTCGTGTATTTATATCGTTGGTAAAATATATCCCACATGTTTACAAAAGTCGCTACTTATGTCCTTTGCCCGCGCATGACATTCACACCACGCGCTCTTACTCGTGATCACGCGTGGCCAAATGATAGAAATAGCGACTTTTGCAAACATGTGAGATATATTTTACCAGCGAGATAAATACAAAACAAAAGTGATAGTGGGGTATACATGTAGAATATTTTTTTCAATTTTCCCTACGTATTCATTTATGAATTCGATAATCATATATATTAGTAATTAATTTTGTAAATTAAATAGGGAAACTTCGATTAAAATATGTGTAAGGAAAAAAAAAAGATGGTAATAAAAATAATTCCCTTCTCGACATGATTTTCCACTCCCTACCCTTTATTTAATTTTATTTTTAAAATTTTATTATTAATAAAAAAATGTATATAGTTATATGTGTTTTTGTTATCTAATGCTATGTGGCATATTTGGTGATTCATACTATATTAATAGCCTATAAGTAGGCTTGTATCAAAATGAAATGAAATACTTTGAATGTGTTTGTTATATGTTTTGATTTGAAAGAATATTTTTGATGTAAATTATAGGAAATTGTATATGAAATATTTTGGAAATTTGTTGAGTTCTTCGCTTAATCAAAAGCTTGTCTTTTTTCATTGATATTGTGTCTTTCTCAACCTCTTAAATTTTTTCCTCGGTCTCGACCTTGTCCACTACTATATATGCTTCCCTTTTTTTCACTATCATATCTACTATTTACTTCACCTTCTTTAGTATCCAGATTTTGCTTAGTTTGGAAAGCATCTCGACTAATATTGTTGAGTGTCTTTCCATTCTTTTCTCATAGGCTTTTAACGAACTCATCACATCTTCGATCATCAAGAAGAGAATATGCTTAATTTATGTAATGACAGTGACCATAGTATTATAATTTGGAGGCGAACTAACTACAATTTTCTCCACCACTCTGCTATTTCTAATTTCCTCACCAAGCAATCTCATTCGATTAATAATGCCCATCAACCGAGTGTAGTGATACTGGACACTTTCAGATTTCTTCAATTTAAAAAGTTTCAAATTCTTTTCCAAGCGTTTGAAGATTAATATTTTTTACTTTCAAGTTGCCTTGGAACTCCTTTTGAAAAATCTCCTAAGCTTCTTTTCCGGTGGTTGCATGCTCTCATGATCCTGGAGAACAACTCCGTCGACAAATCTTGTTAAATACATAAGAGAATTTTTGCATTTCTCTTTCGATTGTCCTTCAATATTTTTCATGCACCATCACCCAGATTCATCAAGTCTTCAGGGTCTTCAAATATATCTTTATACTCTCACATGTACTTGGAGATAAGTATCTTTTTTAATTTCACAATCCAATGGTCATAATTTTTTCTAGAAAAAATAGGAATTGGTTGTGAATGGCTTGTGTTGGACAATTTGAAATATAAATGTTGAGGTGGATAAAGAAAAACACACACACACACATAGTGTTCTAATACCAATTCGTGTTGATTGAAGGGTAGGTGAACCAAAGAGGAAGATTATAAGACTAAATATTATTTCTCATTCATAATTTTACTTACATTAACACACTTTTATTCTAGGTGGAAGATCTTTCTAGACATAATAAAATTAATTGAGTCACTTAAATCAAAAGTCTAGAAAATATAATAAACACCATAAATTACACAAAACACATTAATCATCATAGCATATTAATAAACAATTCCAGATCCGATTATGTTGACGACTACGAAGTTTTAATCAAAGAACGACAACAGTTTTTTCTCATCCGGCGGAGAAAAACTCCGACATTACAGACAACAATCAGCACTGGGCTCCGGTCGTCTTCTTTGATGTTCTCTGAACTACTTCGATCTTCTTACCGATGATTGGGACGATGATTTTTTACTCAATCCATGGTCACTACAAAAAAATAACGGAATTTCGTCCCTAAAGTTCACGTAGCTAACGTAATTCTATTCCTAATTCCGTCTCTAATGTCATTAGTAACGGAAAAAGTAGATTTAGAGACAAAAAAAAATTTTGTTACAAAAATGATTTTTTCTTGTAGTGGGTGTCGAATGGCTCATGATATTCATGTCTCAAGGTGGAGGTCGGTGCTTCACTTTAAACTTCAATACCCACCAGAATTAGCATAAAGAAAGATCTTAGAAATCTCATAGAAATTCTCTCTGAAACTCACCGAAACACTGACCGGAATCTTATCGGGAACAATTACCGGAATATTTTGATTTCTAAATTGGAAGGTTGCTTTATCAAATTTTCTCTCTAATTGATTTCCCTATCTCACTCTCACTCTCACTCTATCTCGATTGGTTTCTTCTCACTCACTCTACAATCCACCATCTAACTTAATCTCAAACTAACTAACACACGGTTTTAAAAACACCCAAACAAACTAACTTAAGCTAATGGGTTGAGATTTGATACGACGGTTTGGGCTTAGGGCTTGGATTTGGATTGAAGAATTTGGACCGAGTTCGGTAGGCCGGGCTAAGAAGTGAGTCAACTATTTATTATCAAAAGATCGATTGGTTAAGCCAAAGCCAACATTTCCAACATACATGATTTTTTATAAATATTATTTATAAATACAATATACATATGCTAAGTGTTTCGTTTCAAATCAAATCTTTGATGCAATCGTTTCAATCCACCCCCTCAGTGAAAAAGAGTAATACATTCTGAAAATTTCCTACCAACAAACTTCTATGCACTCAAAGTGAATTATTTGATTGAATCGCTCGCCTCTGTCAACCATTTTTTGCTGCTCTGGTCACCGGCCAACGAATCTAGACCGACCATCGTCTTCCCCATCCACGAAAACACCCAACTCCGATAAGCCAACCGACGATCGTCTTCCCTAAATTATGTCGATTGTCTTCTCACCGTTCCAGGCACTTTCCATCCTCTGCACCACCGCCAACGCCTTGATTCTTTGGCGGTTTTCAGGCCACTGCAACATCACCATCACTCTCGCCATCATATAAAAACCCCCGAAAACCCTTTTCTATCACCAGAAACCGCAATGGTCGCCATGCAGATAGTCGACATATTTGGTTGAAGGTCACCGGAGTTGTCGACGGAAATCCCGATGTCCGATCCTTAACATCTCACCATAGCTGGGTTCGCCACATCGGAAAACCTTTATACCCAACTTACCATCTCCGATAACCACCTAAGGACGCCGGTGAACCTTCGCTGGAGTTTCGTTGAAAAGTCAACCTCACCGGATCTCAGTTTTCCGATGTTCAATCGCCGTCCTTCCACCAGATTTGGATTCCTCATGCCTCAAAACCTCTTTACTGAGCTAGTAGTTTCTGGAAACTCACCCTAACTCTCCGGAGACAAAGTAACCGCCACCAACGATTTGGTAACCATCATCGTCGCCGTTGATCTCTCTCATCTGACGTCCGATCGGCGATCTAACTCCACCATGGTGCTCACCGTCTTTCATAGCCCTTATGTTGATACCATCGTCGCCGATGAATGCCTCACAGCCGCACGACGGTGTCACCGGAGATGCTTAATCACGACGATCGTCGTTCTCATGTTTCTGGATGTCCGACTGCTATTATTTCACTTAAAATGGATTCAGCACCTCAAAAAAACCCGTCTCCCAATCCTATCATCGCCGGAGAATGCCTCTAAGCTGATTGTTGGAGAAGACGGCCGAACTCACTGGAGCTTAGGATTCCGGCCACCCTCGTCGTCTAACTGTTTAAATGTCGATGCAGGTGTGATGAGGGCATCAACAAACCCACGTGTGGTGGTCCCCATGCGTAGTAACCGTCTCCCTACGCCAACCGTCGATGATGGAGCTCGGGAGTAGCCGCTGCAGCTACTCCATCCGACCGGAGTTTGGCCATTCTGATGATACGAATGAATTTCTAGGCCCTGAAAACCTTAGGTAAGAACTGCCCAACTCTGCATGCCGTTGTTCAAGTACTTTTGATAGTGATTCAAGTCCAAAAAGGCCATCTTTAGCGCCGGCCGCCTCTCCGCCACCGTGCCACCTCCGGCAGCAGTTGTTGTCGTGGCTCCGATGGGACTTCAGACCGGGGCCCCATCTCCACAGGCATGTGGTGTGGGTGGGAGGTCAATTTCAGATTCTACAGGTTTCGGTGCTTGTTCATATGCGAATGTAGTTTCGTTATGGCCTGCCCCGATGGCTCGATTGAAGTCTCATGGCGGATTGGAGGGTTTATTCTCGTTTGATACCGCCCCTCATCCGACTCCTATTGGCGGGTGGGTGAGATCCGATGGCATATTACGTCTTTGTTTTACCCCTGAAGAGACAGCGGGATACGTGATGGCTCATCCCTACGTCGTGATTGGGCGCTTTATTACTGCTTATAGTTCTTGAAATGACAGAGTTGATGGCTTAGCTAGTCTTAAATTGATTGCTCCTTATTCTCTATGTTCTTTGAATCGTCGTCATATTGTTATCCGTTTGTCATGTCCGGAGGATTATATTCGTATTTGGATTAGGGGGTTATGGATGATACAGGGATCCCCCCATGAGAGTCCTTAAGTGGACCCCGGGTTTTTCTTTGACTGAGGATACTCCTATTGTCCCCGTTTGGGTGTCATTCCCGCAGCTTCCGCTCCATATGTACCACATATATTATTTGTATGTTGTTGCCTCTGGGATTGGGACCCCTTTGCGCGTTGATGGTGCACGGAAAAACGAGAAAAA